GGTTTGTCATGATAGATCTAAAGGACGTTTACTTCCATGTATCTATCCTCCCTCAACACAGGAAGTTCCTGAAGTTCGCTTTCGGGGGCGAAGCGTACCAATATCGGGTTCTTCCGTTCGGCCTAGCACTGTCACCCCAAACATTCACGAAGTGTATGGATGCTGCTATAGCCCCGCTGAGGTTACAGGGCATCCGCATTCTGAACTATATAGACGATTGCTTGATTCTAGCTCAATCGGAACAACAGGCAGTTCGGCACCGAGATGTCGTTCTTGCTCATATCAAGTGACTGGGGCTGAGGCTCAACGCCAAAAAGAGTGTTCTTTCTCCATTACAGAGAACCACTTTTCTAGGTGTAGTGTGGGATTCAACGACGATGCAGGCACGATTGTCACCTGCTCGTATTGCTTTGATTCTCGCCGCAGTAGATCAGGTCAAGCTAGGCCAGTCATCCACTGTAAAACAGTTCCAGAGACTGTTAGGTCTCATGGCAGCTGCGTCCAACGTGATACCCTTTGGCCTCTTGCACATGAGACCGTTACAGTGGTGGCTCAGAACCAAGGGATTCTCCCCGAGGGGAAATCCGCTTCGCATGATCGTGAGTTCGCGACGGTGTCATCGCGCCCTGATCATGTGGAAAGATCCTTGGTTTCTGTCCCAAGGCCCTGTGTTAGGAGCTCCTTGTCGTCGCGTTATGCTAACGACAGATGCCTCTCTCACGGGTTGGGGGGCGATCATGGATGGTCGCCCGGCTCAGGGTCTGTGGGAGGACCATCATCGTCTGTGGCACTTAAACTGCCTAGAGATGTTGGTGGTGTTTCAGGCTCTGAAATACTTCCTCCCAGACCTAAGGGGCCACCATGTTCTTGTCCGGACAGACAACACATCGGTGGTTTCTTATATCAACCATCAGGGGGGACTGCGTTCTCGCCCGCTTTACAAACTGGCACGTCAGATCCTTCTATGGTCCCAGGGGAAAATTCTTTCTCTGAGAGCTATTTATCTCCCGGGGTATTTAAATCAGGGGGCAGACATCCTGTCAAGACAGGGGCCGAGGCCCGGGGAATGGAGTCTTCACCCCGAGGTGGTGGAACTCCTATGGAAACATTTCGGTCGTGCCGAGGTAGACCTATTTGCTTCTCGAGAAACATCACACTGCCCGCTGTGGTTCTCTCTCAGCCATCCAGCCCCGCTGGGGTTGGATGCGATGGTACATCCGTGGCCGAGGTCACGCCTGTACGCTTTTCCCCCGATCGCTTTGCTCCCAGGAGTTCTGGAGAGGGTTCGCCGGGACGGGCTCAGTCTCCTGCTAATAGCCCCGTTCTGGCCGGCCCGAGTATGGTTTGCGGACCTAGTGTCTCTCCTCGACGGCTCTCCCCTAGAGATACCGATCAGGAGAGATCTGCTCTCTCAGGCGAGTGGGTCGATCCTTCACCCCCGTCCAGAGCTATGGAGGCTGTGGGCTTGGCCTCTGAGGGGGCCCAGCTCATAGATTCTGGTCTCTCGGCTGAGGTCGTTGAGACCATCCTCCAATCCAGAGCTCCCTCCACGAGGAAGTTATATGCCGCGAGGTGGAAACTTTTCACCTCTTGGTGTGGAGAGCGCCAGCAGGACCCAGTTAACTGCCCGGTTGGTACAGTGCTGGATTTCCTGCAGGACCGTCTCTCCACAGGGTTATCCCACTCCACACTGAAGGTGTATGTGGCGGCCTTAGCTGCTTACCACGCCCCTTCAAGTGGAGGTTCCCTCGGGAAACACCCACTTATATCTCGCTTCCTTCGTGGCACCTTGAGGCTGAGGCCTGCAGTTCGCACGAGGGTACCAGCTTGGGATCTGGCCATCGTCTTAGAAGGTCTCTCCCTTGCTCCTTTCGAGCCCATCGAGGAAGTTTCGGAAAAGTTTCTTACTCTTAAGACTATCCTTCTTCTTGCTATCTCATCTCTAAAAAGGATTGGAGATATTCAAGCACTTTCTGTGGCTCCCTCATGCCTGGAATTTGCTCCTGGTATGGTTAAGGCCTTTCTCTGTCCGAGACCAGGTTATGTTCCTAAGGTGCCAACTACTTTTGTTAGACCTATAGTTCTGCAGGCTTTCTGTCCTCCGCCTTTTCTGACGTCAGACCAGAGGAAACTTAATTTGCTGTGCCCTGTTAGGGCTTTAGATGCTTATGTCCACAGAGCTGCCCTGTGGAGGAGATCGGAACAACTGTTTGTCTGTTTTGGGTCACCTAAGAAAGGGTGTCCTGCATCTAAGCAAAGGATGAGCAAGTGGGTGGTCGAGGCCATCTCGCTTGCTTACGGTTCGGCCCATCAGCCTTCACCTTTGGCTGTAAGGGCTCATTCCACCAGGAGTATGGCTGCCTCTACAGCTCTTCTTTCAGGAGCTTCTCTTCAGGACGTTTGTGATGCGGCAGGCTGGTCCTCACCGCACACTTTCGTCAGATTTTATTCCCTTGACCTTAGCTCCACTCCCGGGGCTCAGGTTCTCTCGTCGGTTTGTGTCTCCTAATGACACACGACGGGGATTTGGTCGTATGGGGATGTGGGTATTGCGTTCCCATTGCGATTACACGCAGCGGTAGTCCCTGAAGGGGAACGTCCCGGGTTACGTATGTAACCCTAGTACCCCGAAGGGACGGACGCTGCGTGTCCTGCCATACTCTCGGCATCCCCTTGGGTCGCTGCTTCAGTAACTTTTAAGCTGGCGTATTGTGTGCTCAGGGGATATTTATAGCTTCCTGGTCGATGACGTCACTCGCCGTACGCTCATTCTCTCCATTGACTGATTTCATTCATGCTTCAGACGCGTCACGCTGAGGGCGTTCCCACTGCGATTACATGCAGCATCCGTCCCTTCGGGGAACTAGGGTTACATACGTAACCCGGGACGTTTTCACAGCATAAATTCATGTTTTTACAGGTTGGTCCCATGGACTTTTATTGTATTTTTCGAAAGGTTCCGAGTGCCTGACAACTGTGAGGGGGGTGAATTTTTTTCTAACTCGGTAATTTAGATCGTATTTAGATATAAAATGTATGACAAATAAGCGCATGATTGACAGCTGATAACGGGCTGCGCCGAGTGGAATTCCTGAAATTTGACGTCTCGGCCATGATCTGACACAACACATCATACCACCTCTGTATCCTTTCTGAACATTTGTATTTGAAATATCGTAAGATTTTCCAAGATGGCACCGCCCATACCCCCCATAAACAGCCTCAAAACCGTTCTTCAGAAAGTCTATGGGTGACGTCACAGACGCTTTGTCCATATTTCTTACAGTCTATGGTTTAAACCGGAGTCGGACCCGGAACAAGATGACGGCCCGAAGAAGGCTCAAACAGGACGTTTCTGAATGGTTGGTTAACATAATGTCACTTTGATCTATCTTTGTATGCACTGGCAGGGTAACGGTAGAGAAGTGAGATACAAACGCTATGTGTTTACTGATGTATACGTTAGTTCATTGACAGATTGACGTTACAACTAATGGTCATGAAAAACTTTTTTTTTGCGATTTACAAAGATTAATATAATGTTAAAGGTTAATAAAACTTTACACTTACTTCTTCTGGAGGTGCAGAGGGAACAAATAGTTGCCACCGATTCTTTTTTCAGGAGCAGCTTCTTAGCAAAACCAGCTTTATACTGATCCTCGTTTATAAAGCAGTCTGGTGGTGAGAAATGATTCGCGCAAATATGAAAGCATTGACGTTGCTCGTGGGGAATATTCCCTTCGAAAACAAAACTCAGCCACTGTGTCTTCAGCGGTTCGGATTTGTGTTCGAATTTTAAAGACATGACGCGGCGCTGCGCTTCTCGTTCGGTGTGCGACCCCCTTTAGGAACATCAAAATGACTGCTGTGTTCGTTATTACACCCAAGAACAGAACACCACAATCGCATAGACGCCATTCTGCTCCAGCGCATCAACAATGACGGACTATGATGACAACTCGCTCAGGGCGGGTCTGTGTTGAAACGCTGCTGTCAATCAATAATCGTGGGAGGGGCTTCCGTTTTATTGACGTCACAAAAACGAACAACTCAATTTGAGGCAGGGGAAAACATATAAGGAGATTAAAACAAAAACACTGGATGGATTTGTATCATTATATGATGGTTGTGTACAGGCACTGCCAACACACATTTCAGTACAATCAACTTGTAAAAGTGCATGCATGTACCATTATATGACCCCTTTAAAACTTCTCTCACCATGATAACTTACATGGTTGTACTATTGTAGTCATTACCTTAAAGTTTTTATGATGCCTTTAGGGTGAAATGAACAGATGGTGAACCAGTAATATACAGTGTTGATTTTAATAATCAAACATAAAAGTGATGGCTAGATTGAATCCATATTACGTCCAGCTCAAGCGGGTTAATCCTAACCATGCATTTTCCATCAGATACTTATACATATTTAAATAAGGACCTCTGATGATTTCTCAAATTAAACTGAGATGAGGTTAATGTAATTGGCACTGTGAATCAAATTATTTATTTCCAAGCACATTTAAGTATTAAGCATTCCACTCAAAACTATCAAAAAATAAATGCCAAAGATAAATATAACAACATACTTAAATTACATTTTAGATAACTGAAATATACACATATACGTATCAAAGACAAAATAAAGTAAATGTCCTTCCAAGTACACACGTTACAAGATGACAGCCATCTTAAAACATAATTTACACACATGAACAAGCCTACAATGAAGTACAAACACAGTTGCACATTAAGATCCAGTTGAAAATAAGTTATTTTTGTTCTATTCTTCAAACATGTTGGAATATGCTGTTGTGGAGAACATGTGAACACTGTTCAAAATACAAAAGTAATGCCAATTATCTTGCCACAGATACAAAAGCCTAAAAAAAAATGTCAGTAGCAATTGAGCCACATCTAAATATTAACACAATTAAGAAGAGAACTAGAACTACATAAATTTGCTGTTACAGTACGTTACTTACATTTGTATATTGCATCCTAAATCATTTATGATGATTGAAAGGCATCACGCATTTCTGAGAAGTGATTATTGGACACAATTATTTTGTTTCTTGAATGATGGCATACAGTAGCATACAGGTTTCTCTAAAGTGAATTTTTTTTGTATAAAGTATACAATTTTGTCTGCTAGTCAGATTGGAACCAATTGATTGGCTGAACATGGTTCTGATTTTACAATAAAATCCCATCAGTTTTTGGCACATTTCAAATGAATTATTCACTATATTTGGGGTCACTGTTGAGCATTAGCTGCAATTTTGATGTAAAACATGTTCAAATTCAGTTTTGTTTATCTGAATCTAGGAAAACATGTCAGTGTTTCTGATCTCACCAGTCTTTGGCACATTTCAAATGAATTAATCACTATCTTTGGGGTCACTGTTGAGCATTTGCGGCAACTATGACGTAAACCATGTTCAAATTCAGTTTTGTTTATCTAAATTTCAGGATAACATCAGAGGAGTTCTTGTTTTGAAGCAGTGCAGGACTTTGGTTGAGGGTGACGTCTGGAGGGTCCTAACTCACAGCCATAGCGTTGTTCTCCACCATTGCGTATTCTGTCTCGGTGCCCTGAGAGACCTCCATGAGTCGCGCCAGCCCAGTACGGGTGGAGTATTTGAAGATGAAGGCTTTCATGAGGTCATAGCGGTAGTGACGGTGAGCAAAGCTGTAGACAATGGGGTTCACGCAGCAGTGCAGCAGCGACAAGCATTGCGTGAGGTGCAGCACCACAAAAAGGCCGTTCTCTGAACCGCAGCCCAATGGGACCACACCTAGCATGACTAGAGCGTCGGCTAACAGAACAGCATGATATGGTGCCCAGCAAGCTATAAAAACCACTATGTACGTGAGGATGACCTTCCTGCTCACGCTGCGATCCTGGTCACCATGTAAAGGGGAATGAGAGGAAGAGGAAGCCAGAGCTTTTGCCAACAGTGCATAGGACACTGCTATAACGGGGAAGGGAATGACAAAACCAAGAACCACAAAACTCAGTTGAATGCCCACCATCCACTGCAAAGGGTTGTCCTCTGGATATACAGGATGACATAAGGTCACATGACTGTGTAGTGACTTTACGGATTGCAGGAAGTATGTGTCAGGTATTGAGGCGAATAAAGCAAGCAGCCATGTTACCGCACACACTAAACGGCGTATTTGTCGTCCTCGTCTGGGTGAAATCTCCTCCGAGCGTACCACCGAAAGATAACGGTCCACGCTCATGCAGGCCAGGAAGAAGATGCTGGCGAAAAGGTTGACGCTGAACAGAAGATGTGTGAGCTTACAAGCCACCTGGCCAAACGACCAGTGGCCACCCTGTGCCAGCGAGCTCACCCACACCGGGAGAGTAGCAACCACACACAGGTCAGCCACCGCTAGGTTTAATATATACAAGTGTGTCTCGTGGTAATGACGCTCCGAGCGCAAGTTGACCCACACTACTAGCGCATTGGCGGCCAGGCCCACAACAAAAATGAAGGCATAGAGGGTGCACATAGCATTGAGGAGAGCAGAACGGTTGAAGGAGGTGGGGCACATTTGCGCTTCCACCCGTGTGCTGTTGTCATTGGTGTCTGTGAAGTTTAATTCTTCCCACATGACGAAGAATTCAGTCAGTTCGCTGCCACTTAGACTCATCTTTTCATTTGGTGGTGAAGACTGCAACTGTGGAAGGGGAAGGAAAAAGAAGTGCAAACACCCATCAAGATGGAGTAAAGTTTTCTCTGTTATGATTACCAAAAGATCTACGTCATTATATTATTAAATATCAATCATAAATACCAAATATTAATTTAATAACATGAACTGATGGGTAGAAAATGGGATTGAGTAGAAAATTACTTATAATATTTATTTTAAATCAATATATTAATATTTTTTTATTTATTAATGTTTTATATTAGAGTTAAAAATGTGTGAATATTACACTAACATTCAAAAGTTTAGGGTCAGTAAGACAAATAAATAATTTTCTTTTTAACGGGCAATTCATCAAAGAATTCTGAAAATAAGAATAAAGTTTCCACAACTGTTTTCAACATTAATAATAATCGGAAATGTTACTTGAGCACCATATCAGCATACTGGAAATATTTCTGTAGGATCATGTGACTATAAAACAATAAAATAGAAAACACTTGGTTTCAGTTTGTGATCAAATAAATGGTTTGATGAACAAAAGACTTCTTTCAAAATTATTACAAAATCTTAACAAAACCCCAGCATTTGAACTGTAGTGTATAATTGCATAAATAAACTTTATTTAGCATTAAGGACATTCCTAAAGTATTGAACTAACAAATACTATTTTTTCTCACAAGGTCAAAAGTGCAATCTGTTCAAAGAAACACTTAAGAACCATTTATTAAACTATTTATTTGACATAAGACCATCCAATCATCCAAGACAAACTTGTCTATGGCACTAGAGCCTTTCATATTTGTGAAATTGTCAAAGCATCCTATTATTATTTCATGGTTCAGTTCGGTTCGAAAGTTGACACTACTTCAAAAGCACAAAGCTGTTTGGCTTCAAGCCAGTCATGCTGAAGTACCCTTTAAGCTGGTTCTGCTTTTCAAAAATCAAAGTCACTTCACAGTGATTTCTTTGAGCAAAGTAATTTCAGTTTAGGGATTTTGTCATGCCATCTTAAACATCTAAGTGGTCCTTTCTAATAGACAGGTTGCTATGTGGTTGGTGAGGTCACAGACCCTTGACCCTTGATTTCTCTAGGTCACTAAATGCTTTTTTAGTGGAACCTTTCACATCAGCAGAGCTGCAAAAGAGGATGTGAATGTTAGTATAATGCTGTTCTAAATTAGCGTAAATCTCTAAAAATATAAAATAAGCCTGCCTCATGTTGTGTTCCAAGACTAACCATAACATAAAGAGTGTGTGATTATGTTTAAATGTTATAATTGGAGTATTGAATTACACATAACGTTCCATTACAAAAGGAAATTACTCCACCTGTTACTCCACCTGCATTCTGTTTGAAGTTCATTACAAAGTTAAATCTTATTGTTTTCCCTTTAGTAAGTACACAATAGTGCTGTTTGATAAAAGCTTTTATGTTTGTTTGTTTGTTTAAGAATGGTTTATATGCTTTCGCCCTAAGAGGAAACAGTTTAGGAAGTTCGTAGCACAAAATGTAATTGATGAATCATTTAGGGACTGTAACATGTGGAGATACACATGCAAACACTCTTTGCCTTTTCTCTACTTGTCTCATTGTCTCTCTTTCAGTCTTTATAATTAGTTATTTATGCATAAATATAGCCTACTCAAGGCTATCTATAATAGAGTATCCACTGTTCCAGCTCTGCAGCTGACCATGTAAACTCTGAATCGAAATGTTCCTTGGGCTCCCAGCAGTACACAGTGGTAAGCAGCAAGGACACTGGAGTGTCAAAGGTCAAATTTATTACAACAAACCCCTTAAGGGCCTTGAACCTGTAACACTGCTCTTGCTGGCAGGAAGTTGGATATGTCGAATAAATCATGATTTGCGCAAAACCGTGAATCATCTTTGAAAGACTATATATGACATGCTATAAGATCCAATTTATGATTAGGCCTACCTCTGTAGTGCCTCTTTAATTTCTGTTCATTGTGAGCACATATGCAGTGCAAGTTCTCCATGAACACAGCAAATGTTACTTTCTTTTCTATTAAAATGAAGTGCATTTCTGTTCCTGCTTCCAAAGCTAATCTTCTGTTTCGAATTAATTAATTTATTTTGAAGTTATGGATTTCGTCAGCTGTACTGATACCTTGAGTAAAGCTCTACGCATGAACTTATGTCAGACTGAAACGCAGAAAGCAGAATAATGTTTAAAGCCAAACCATGGACATAATGAAATAGCCTATGATGCAAATTCTTAACACAGTTAATATTGGGTGGGAATCTTACTGTAGAGCTTTGTAGAATTTAATTGTGACCGTGTCTGATTTTTTGCGTAGGCTAAACCCAAATACTGTGCAAACGGGAAGAGCTTTATAATGTTGCAATGATTAGCCTACGTAAAAAAATAAATTATTAGCCTACGTCCTCAATTATACACGACTTCTGATGCCGTTATTTTGCGCTAAATATAGCCTATAGGACAAAAAATACATACTGTAAGTATAGCCTACTCAGCACAACTTAGTTTTGCTGAAACATTATTTGCTGACAACTTTTTTAAGAAACCCTATTACACTAACAAAAGAGACATCCAGCAGAAATTAAGATCTGCTTAAAAATCCTAACCTTAATAGATCGTCTGCAGTGCAGTCTGAAGCAGGCAGTAGCCTATAGTGAAACTAATATAACCTACTAAAACTCTTGTCTCAAGTCTTTTGCTCGTTCTTTAGGACAAACGATATTGCTCACCTCTGTCATTGTGCCTTTAATGCTTGGTCAGTGCGCAAACTTAATCCACGGATTCGTTCTTATCAGCCGATGATGAAGCGATCCCGTCGTCGCTTCTGCTGCAGGTTGTTTAAATAGAGTGAATGAAAGTGGTGACGCCCATAGCGGCTGACAATAGCAGAGCTTCGCTCATGTACCTCAGTCTGAAGTCTGAACACGCTCATGAATTAGGCTACACTGGTGAGTGACCAGGAACGCGGCTCGCCAATGAATGCCCCGAATCCAATCATAATGTGGTGCCCCCATAAAAAATACAAAACAACTTATAATTTTTAAAAAGTTAAGAGTTTTGTTTTTTTATGATTGAAACCATATATTGTTTATATATATATATATATATATATATATATATATATATATATATAGGCCTATGTACTGTATACGTTTGGCAGGCGCTTTTACAAAGGGCGGTTTTGTACCGCATTGTCAGTCCTTGCTTTCCCAGAGAATCGATGGCATGGTAGTGTCATGCACAGTTTGAGCTACAGGAAAAGTGAAAATACATTTTATATTTCGAATAAAATTCTATATAAATATGAAATAGGCTATAAAAATAATAAATTCAAATATTATAATCGTAAAACAATAAATAAAACAAAACAAAATACAATACATTAAAAAATTATGCTCTTTATTTAAAAAAGTATTGTTTGTCTTTTTTTTTTTTTTGTAACGTGAGGACAGTTAACCACGAATGCAACTTTGTTGAGTGCCTGCTGACACCTCAGAGCACTCATTTCATGCATGACTGATTATACATTATGAAACATAACCACCCAAAACGACAATCTGTGATCTTGAAAAAAATCACTACAATCAGAACCACTAAAGTAGCAGGAAGAGTCTGCACTGCAAAACCTCAAAGCAAAGGTGTGTTTCTTTACAAAATGCGATCATGTAAATAAAATGAAAATATAAAAATTTATCAACTAAAACATCAAATGTCTACTATTGTTTTTGTAAGGTAAGGACATGTGGATGGATATGTCATGGTTTTCTTCATCATCTGACAGAGAAAGGGTCTGACCTCACGAAGGACATGAATCGATGAGGGAGGGATTGTTTCCATCATAATAACTTTCAGGAAAGGGCAGCCTCAGCATGCACGGATATCCATTGTTCCCAGCTATCAAAAGTATCAGAGCACATTTCAAAAAATTCACTGATAAGCATCTTGGTTCTCCTTAACACTTGTGCCAGCTTCTTTATCTGAGCTTTCTTCTACATACAGAGGAGGGGAGAGACCATTTGGCTCCTTTTGGTGGAGGCTTTGAAACAGAGATTGAATTATGTGAATTAAGCAGGGAAGAGAGCAGGGGTCCAAAGCTGCTGGAACAGTGCACAAAATCTCTCTCTACTTTTCAAACACACACGTTCCCTCCATTGCTAAGCAACAACTGTAAAATGTAAAATGAGTGACTCAGTGCTTGAGAACAAGGACCTTTAAATAACTTCCTGCAGGCTGCAGTGGAGGCTTAATTTGTTTATTTAAGAAAACTGTATCATTTTGTCAATTGGTATGGTACAACACTGTAGCTGGACTAAAGCATCCAACAGATGTCTCAATAAACATGGAAGACAGGTGGTGACAGCTGAAGGTTGAACTGCGGATAAACTTGTCCAAAGGTGTCACTTGGGTCATGGCCTCTTCTCCTTTAGGGTCAATGCCAGGAACTGGAGATCACATCGACTCAATAAAAATTAGAAAAATTAGACAACTAAAAAAATCTCTAAATCCTTTGTGTATTTTGTATTTTAGATCTATTATGCATTTCATAGATAGAATCTATTTAATATTTTTAGTAGGCCTACATAATAATCAGTCCTGTAAGCTGGTAGGGAATGTGGTAAAGTAGATTATCGTCGCTGCCCGATGAAACTCATGTCACCACCGATGCTAAGGCCAAGGGTTATTTACCACACTCCGGAGGAGCAGACACCAGAGGCAGACAACCAAGGTAAGTTAAAATGGTAAGTATTGGTAAATTTATAAAAGATTGGTAAATTTATAAAAGAATAAAAGCAGGAACAGGCAGTGGCTTTTCTCGTCGTCAGACTCGTTGAATCGGCTCGTGGGACAGACAGTGGCTTTTCTCGTCGTCAGACTCGTTGAATCAGCTCGTGGGACAGACAGTGGCTTTTCTCGTCGTCAGACTCGTCGAATCAGCTCGTGGGACAGACAGTGGCTTTTCTCGTCGTCAGACTCGTTGAATCAGCTCGTGGGACAGACAGTGGCTTTTCTCGTCGTCAGACTCGTTGAATCCGCTCGTGGGACAGACAGTGGCTTTTCTCGTCGTCAGACTCGTTGAATCAGCTCGTGGGACGGACAGTGGCTTTTCTCGTCGTCAGACTCGTTGAATCCGCTCGTGGGACAGACAGTGGCTTTTCTCGTCGTCAGACTCGTTGAATCCGCTCGTGGGACAGACAGTGGCTTTTCTCGTCGTCAGACTCGTTGAATCCGCTCGTGGGACAGACAGTGGCTTTTCTCTTCGTCAGACTCGTTGAATCCGCTCGTGGGACAGACAGTGGCTTTTAAGGTGTGCTGAGCTTTTCTCCCCTGCACCCTGCACACGATCTCAGGGACCTGGACACAGCTGAGGGGACAGATCAATTCGAAAGAATCTTCAAAGTTATGGGTCAATTTCATCCGTCAGAAACTCAGAGAAGACAGTTGTTTGATCTCACCACACTCGTGCATAAATCACTCTTGTAAATCTCCACACGTGTTTAATTCACTCTTTTAGACACTGCAAACTCACTCTATCTTCACAGCGATTAATCAACTCGTTTCTCTTTTCTTCATAGGATGTATGAACCACAGAATATTGGACTCAGAAGATAAACATGGATTCAGCGATCTTCCCAGCCGCTACTGTTACTGTCAACAGGATAACACACTCTGCCCACAAACACAGGTTAGTCGTACACTGGTGATGGCAATCTTCACATGTGTTTTTCTCCAAAAGGTGAATCATAAAGGGGTGCACTTAACTTTTCCTCGGTGAATCACGTGAATCCTGCAGCGGGTTTCCACTCTCTTTACTGCCAGTCACTCTCCGTCTTCCTCTGTGAAGTTTTCTCACTTACTTCGTTGCGTTGCTGTTCGTGGTTTCTTTAAAAGACTCACTTAATGAGCATGTCTTCGGGGGACTCAACATGGAACACCGATCAGGTCTTAAACCTCTGCTTCCTGCACTCGCCGCTGCTCACTGCCACTGCTACAATCCACTTGAGCACTCCTATGGAGCTTTCCTACTGCCAGAGCATTTCTTTCCTCTTACTATGCGTCGAGCCCCTCTCTTTATACTCCTTCCTTCCCGGCACATGCTTCAATGAAGCGCTACTCACGGGCTTCAGCTGGCGCTTGTTATGATCGGCGGCCATGACGGGTAAAAACAGAGCCGGCCCGGTGTTACACCGGCATTTCTTCCCCCTGGAAACAAGTCAACCATTCTTTGGTTCCCGGTTTGTTCACCCGGTGACACCCTCCCCCACCGGATCCGTTCTAGTCCCGAGAACGGGCTCCAGACTCCCATTCTCCGTACCTGGTAGGAGGTACTCCTCGGGTCTCCCGTTGGGAGTGTCGAGTTGGGATAACGGGTTCTTCCTCCCTTGGTTCAGGAGTAGGGGCTCTAGGGACCACAGCCCAACCCACCCAGGGTGGTGCAGGGGCCACAGGCGCCGGCGGTGCCTCCGTCTCTTGCTGCGGATAGTTGGGGCAAGGGCGAAGCAAGTTTCGGTGCAGGATTCTCACGGGGCCAGTTTTCCCCTCTGGCCGAATGGTATAGACGGGCTGGTCCGGCCTCTGTCGTTGCTCTCTCACATACGGCACGGTTTCCCACCGGTCACTAAGCTTCCCCTTCCCCCGGCGCCGGTTATCCCGCACCAGCACCCGTTCTCCGGGTAACAGGGGGGCCTCTCGGGCCGTACGGTCATACAGACGTTTGTTCTTCTTGGCGGCCATGTTGAGGTGCTTGGACACTTTCTCATACGCAGAGTGAAGTTGGCGATGGTGTCGGTGTACCCATTCGGTGGTAGTAGCGGGGGCCTCGGCCGCTGTTGCCCCGAGTAGCAGATCTGTGGGCAGACGCACATGTCTCCCAAACATCAGGTAAGCAGGGGCATAACCCGTAGTGCTATGGACGCTGTTATTGTAGGCCTGCACCAGGGCCGGGAGGCTATCCGTCCAGTACCCCTGGTGATCCGCATCCAGAGTCCCCAGTAGACTCAAAAGCGTCTGATTGAAACGCTCGCACCCCCCGTTTCCCTGTGGATGGTATGGGGTGGTGTGGGTCTTCCTGCATCCGTACAGTTGGGATAGTTCTTGGATGACACGGGACTCGAAGTTCGGCCCTTGGTCCGAGTGGAGTGTTTCGGGACATCCTAAGGGCTGGAAGACGTGCCTCCACAGGGCGTTGGCAGTAGTGGTAGCGGTCTGATCTAAGGTCGGTATGGCCCAGGCATACTTGGTGAACAAGTCAGTGATTACCAGGATGTTCTGGTAGCGATCCGTTGGGCGACTTAAGGTCAAGAAGTCCATAGCCACCATATGCAACGGGGCTCTGGGCCTCACCGGAACCATGGGGGCCCTCACGTTTCGTCGGGACTTGAACAGCGTACAGCGAGGGCATCCTTGCACATACTTCCCTACGGAATCTTCCATCCCGCTCCAGAAAAAGTGCCGGCGCAGCAGTGACACCGTTCGTTCTTGGCCCTGATGTCCTAGCCGATCATGGTAGGCCTGGAGCAATGGCTGGATTTGGGCTTCAGGCACCACCACCTGATATGCCATCTCGTGGGTCCTTGAGTCCAAGACAGTCCTACAAATTACTCCCTCCCGCAACTTTAATCGCTTCCAATGCCCCAGAAGCTTCTTCAATCCCACAGGATGCTCCCGTCGTTCGTCCGCCCCAGGGAGTTTGTTCCGCTCCAGGCAAATCCGCAGGAAAGCCAACCCTTCATCCTGCTCCTGCCGCTCCCTCCATCGGTGGGGGTCCCATCCCCAACTTGCCGGTACTCCCTCCGATTGCCTTCCGGGTGCCTCCACTATCCCTACCATCAGCCCTTCCTCTGATTCTGGTCCTGGGGTTCCCC